CCTCCACCCGCTTGAAAATATTTTTTTTATTGGATTTTATTTGAATTATAGTGTATGGAAATTGTGAAAATAATCAACTTTCAACCCCCATAACTTTTAATGGGCCGCAAATTTTTTATGGGGTTTTACTCAGGTGTCCACCCTCTTTCGATCCCCCCTACCCTCATTCGATCCCCCTTACCCCCACCCCCATCTAACCGCCATAACTTTTTCTGGGGGTGAGACCGCCACAAACTTTTTATGGTACAGTAGTGGGGGAGACCTCCTATTTCGATCCCACCCAACCAACATCATCTAGACATTTACCCATAATAATTGTTGGTGTAAACTTGACGAGTATTTCACATTTGTCTACTTTTGTTATTTGTAAATTGACATTTACACGAAATTTACAAACAGTTCTATTTACAATTATTAATCATTTTACCGATTACCTAAGAGGAACTTGATAAATAATATCGATATCTATAGATACAATTCTCGTCCGTAATAAATTAACTGCATACATACATTGGCTCGTTGTAAACATATCAAATCTTGCGCTCAACAAATGAAAAAAGGACGAAACGTCGTTCACATAACTATTAACAACAAGAATTTCAATTCACAGAAAAGACGGGCAAAAGATATCGTCCCCAAGTAGCTTTTATTATGTTTGATATTGAAGCATTGGAGCTGCAAGGTTGGGATGATGGGACGAATTCATTCTCAGTGCAGATAAACTCTTGTTGTACCATTCGTCTTCTGCAGACATACCTAATAATAATCACACAAGAATAAACTTTAAACAAATCAACTTCATATAACTCAACACGCCTTGCTTAGTGTAAGACTACGTGACGTTTTTATGGTTATTGCTTTGACCAAATCGAGAGTTTGTGCGAATTATTTCTTGATGAACATCATTGCTAAATTATTTCCCAAGAAAATTCCATTTACTGACCCAGGGGTGATGAAACATTGAATATACACATCAGGGGAAGAAATTAACACGCGGTTTAAGAAATTCGTTACTTTTCCTGCTCGTAGTTGCGCAATATATTACAATATTGTCACGGAATTCTAGGAGTTTTGGGTCAATTATAAACTTGTGGTTTTAATTTAACATTTTTATGAAACTCAGGGTATCTTGGGTTATACGAAACTCAAAATTTACAACGATCTGACCAACTCTTGGTCCATGCGAAAGAAAAACTGGTTACGTTTCTGATCTGAAAGCATTTTTTGATTATTTACCTATTACCATTTTTTAAGTTTATGGAGTTTTTTATACATTACTTTTCGAAGGAAGTCGGTATAGCTTTTGAATAATATTTGTTCAGGGCCGGATTGGTCCGGGGCGCAAAAAATGTGAAAAAAAGAGAAATTTAGTTACATCGCACCCCGGACCAAAATCTTCAGTCCGGCTCTGTATTTGTTTTTAAATCTCAGAATTGCTAAAAAATTAGCCCAAACCATCCGTTATTTAATGCAATATGTGCAATATTTGTTGACTTCTATGTTATGTCTATGTCACGGAAGTGTGAGTGTGTCACAAGAAATAGCATTTTATTTTTTAAAAAAGTTTTGTCCTTTATTTTTTATGAAGAAAATTATAATAAGGTGACTACCTATGGCCTATGGCATGTTGAAGATCGAAATTGCAATCAATATCTCAAAATTCCGATAAATTACTGAACAACAAAAAGACTAGTTATAATAGTAGAGAAGTTAGGTATTACTAATTTGTTATTCTTTTATTTCTGGGATCCTGTGATCTAAGGACATTGCAATACACCACAATAAAGTATTTCCAATCAAAATTCGAAAGGTTATTTTCAAAAAGTAGGTATATGAAAGAAATTATGAGTGCTGTCAGCACAGGGCAAAGTGGTATTACGTAGTTAGTACCAGCAATTTATTATGCTGAAGTGTACGATGTGTTGCATTCCTATTTACAAACAATTGCTTTAAATTTTAATCATTGATTACTATACATCTATTAAAAAACCATAATGGCCGACATCAGTGACAATGCGATAACAATTGAAAAAGAAAGATGGCCGACAACTGCAACAATTAGAAAAGAATGATGGCCGACACTACGTCATAGTGGAGCAATTTCAAACAATTTTTAACACAAAGAAAGTGATTAAACAAATTGTTTGCAAAAGTGAATTTCAACCACTCGTAGCAATGTTGCTAACATTTTTGAGCTCACAGCGACTGATAGGGGGGAATAACTAGTTATAATAATAAGTAGAATTGAAAATAGTTCATCGGCTGAAGCAACTAGAGAGGTTTTGGAGAAATTGTTTCATCAAAGTTGTCCATTGTTTTTTATTTTTTCTCTAATTTCTCGCTATTATATTAAGAACATCTTTTTCTAAATTCCAATTTAGGTAATTAATTGAAATGATGGGTCATTTTAAACGTATTTTTTAAAAGAAAAATGAATAGAGCAAAGTGTAACGGAAATGACGTTTATAAGCTCTAAGATTAGCAACGGCATCTTGAGAACGTTCTATTTCCTGTCGAAGATGAAATTTCGATTTCGGCGGTGGCTTTAGTAGCTAAGTAGTTACCCGATTCCTTAACCTATCTGTAAATGCAACGTCTTACTTCAAATATAAAAATACCACATTGCTGTGATTGGAATTGATTGATTTTGCTATATTCTGCAAGTAAATATTTGTATGTCAAACTAGAACATCACATGACAAAATTACAAAACAACTCACCTGAGAATTTAGTGATCATTTAGCACTAATTTAGTTCTCTAATTAAAAAAATGAAAAATAGTACTAAATTATAGCGTAGGAACACCAAAATTTTAATTGTAGCACTAAATTAACACTAAAAGAGTGCTTAATTTTCATATGAATCGTTTTGCGATTTTATAAAATGGTTGATGCACCAGATTAACACATGCCTGTAGGCTTATAAATCCAGGAATATGTATAAATATAAACTTACCGACTCCATCTTGTCTCATACTGGGCATGGTGGACATATTTGCACTATGGGTCATCGAAAATGATTGACCCATCCCTGGGTAAGAACTTGTTGCCATCTAAAGAAAGCCATCTTATATAAGTCATTATAAATCTCCCTTACTGTAACTGTTATCTCAAGAAATCAGTTTATCTGTGTAAAATTAGATACGTTTATAAACCTGCAAATTTTACTCTATGGACAACTCTCGCGAGAGCGTCCATTTGGAGAGTTTTCAGAAGAAAATGGCGCATAGTTAGCCTTTATGTCAAACATTTGAGCATAACGAAGTATCGGGAACCTTTAGTTTAAATGGTTTATTATTTTATAAAAAAATTATTGTAGTCGATCGTTATTCTAAACTCAGCATCAGTTAATATACCTAATACACCTTGAAATAAAATTAAACATTAAAAATTTTATGTCTCTAAATGCAAATGTTTAGATATCGCATACCTGCTTGGTCGAAATAAGCGACCAGCAGGTATTATTGACTTGCGGCATGTAATATGTATTTAATCAGCAAACCGAGCGTCAAAGAGGATAAATTTGCATCGGTCTGCCATGGCGATGGAAGCGGATATGCAAACTAATCACCTAACCTCTTTGACCTCATCTAATTTGGGCTCTTACTCTTACCGCGCTCGCTTTGCTCTCATTACTTCGAAAAGAACCGGAACAAACTATTTAAATAAATTAGGAAAATGCTTCGGAAACTTTCATTGATATTTCTGTCTATGAATCTACTTAATTATTTTAAAATATTTGAGTGCGAGTAAAGAAAAATAAACTCAAAATTCTTTTATCTAATACAAAATCCAGTCTTTTGAACGCAAGTAGGTATTCGTACAGAAAATAACCTTAAAAGGGTGACTCATAAGTCATAATTCGTGATTAAACAGGATTTAACTTCAACTTCTTCATATATTTTGAGTCAATTTTCGCATTTCTTAAAAACTTCAGCAATCTCCATCTTTAACTATATTTTTAGGTCTACTTCTACCCCTAACTTATATTTCTGCTTCTAGTATGTTTCTAACTAACCCTTCATGCATGTGAAGGTGTCCTACCAATCTATCGTGTTATCTTTATTATTCCCGCACGTGTATGAGCCGTGTGACCAGTCGTTCTGCACCTTTTTTTACTTTATGTAGAATACCTACCGACACACATACGCTACTTCCAGATGACTAATACTAAGTTTATAGCTGATGCTTTTCCTTATCAAAGAAGAACATGAAATTTAAAGTGACGCAAGTTTCTTATTTCGTACTTCTGGTGTGAGATTTGCAACTGTGAAATTTTTGATTGCATACTAATACGATTTGCATAGACTATAGATATGGAAGCATTGTTTGCGTATTAATCAGGGAAGTTCCTACCTGAGGGTATCTGTTGATTGCCGTCGGATGAGGATAGGGTTGGTACCCTCTAGCAGCTCCGGGGTAGATGTTTCGCATCATGGCGCCGTTGCATCCTGGCAGAACCGACGGAGCTAATGCCTTTTGAAGTTGCTTCTCCTGTTTCCGATATTTCGCTCGACGATTTTGAAACCAGACCTGGAAGACCCCGTCTATTGATTTCGGCAATGTAGATAGTAATAAGATAACATTAGAAACAGGATTCTATAAGCAATAACTTTCGCAATATAATCATCAACTTTATCATTATTATAGGGTTGCTAGTTTTGAAGATTTGGACACGCACCTCCACTGTTTCCTATCCTGAGTCAATCAACGTATTTCCCTTAATCTAGAACTTTCCCCGTAGTATCAGATTTGTACTTACGAGTAGAAATCAATGACAAGTGGTGAAAGAGATGAAAAAAAAACAAGTGTCATTTAATTAAATTTAGAACTGATGATCTACCTGAAAATGTACAAGGTTTTGATCAAACCGGAATAGAACAAGAACGGTGTAACTTTTAATTTGTTTAGGAGGGTTTGAGACTTTTTGGATTGGTTCACCTTCCATATTGCACTAGGATTTAGAACCAATTTGGATTCGATCTTGTTAGTATCAGACTTGTGTTTACGAGTAGAAATCAATTACAAGTCGTGAAAGAGATGAAAAAAACAAGTGTCATTTAATTAAATTTAGAATTGAAGATCTACCTGAAAACGTACAAGGTTTTGATCAAACCGGAATAGAACAAGAACGGTGTAACTTTTAATTTGTTTAGAAGGGTTTGAGACTTTTTGGATTGGTTCACCTTCCATATTGCATTGTTATTATTTAATCGTCATTAAATAAACAAGCGAAATTTCGTGGACATAAATGAATGTTTCATCCGATGACCCCTTTGTCATTTGTTAAAGGAATTGTAACTATAAAACTTTTGATGCGCAGATTGAAATTTACGTGGCTGGTACAATATTGGTGTAATTATAGAGAAATAAGTGCTCTTCAGCTTTTGCTTTTGTCCTTTTATTAATTGCTTTTTGATGGTTATTTTTTTTTTTTTGGTATAAACGTTAGGTGTAACGAAAACATAGTTTGACGAGGTGATATTGCGGACAGTGAGAAACGGGGGATGATGAAGCGACGCTGCCGTCGGTTGACTATCTGCCGACATGGTTAGTGGGAGGGGTAATTCCATTACGTATCCATTTGATGGAATCGAGGGCGGCTGCGAAACGTGCTGTCCGTTTTCCACGCGCTCTGATGCTTCCATCGACTGTATCCACTACATGTATGTACTTATATACGTACAGCACTTTTGTATGTGTGTGACTTGATGCATGGACATATTTTTGGATACGTGTGGGTTTTGGTTAAACGAGATATTTCACTTGTATATGTACATATCTATTATGGAACGTGAAGATGGAAATATGTGCCATAAGGGCTTATGATGATTTAGAACGAAATAGATCATTGACTTAATAGTTAAATTCAGGAATTTACTGAAATGGATACCAATTTTAATAATTACCTCGACTAAAGATGAATGAACCAAAATTTTCATTTGTCTGATAACGAATTGCTGAACTTTCCCAAACTAGCTCAGGAAATGGACAATCTTTTGAAGGTTTAGCTTATATGTACATCAAAGATAGTCATGATATAGTGGTAACACTAGCAGTATATCATAATCATCTTTCAGGAGTTAAGCTAAAGGACTGACTGTCTGATTTCTAACGATACATCAAAGATTATCTCATTTCAAACGAAGAAGTTCTTAAAACTATAAATTTTGTAATGGAGCTTCAGAAAGATGATATACATTACTTTTCCCTTGATAATTTTCCAGTTTACTGGATTTTCCCGATGGATTCCATGAAATATATGGAAATTTTCCTCCTGAAGGACTAGGAATACTTATAAACTACAATCGTTACTCCAAGTAAAATATCAAAAAAATAACTAGTATTTAATAAACTAATTCATGAATTCATATACGTTGTCGAAACATGAGGGCCATTCCGTTTTTCTAGAGGTAATCAATTTGCTGAATTTTCCAGAAACAATCCGTCAAATAAATACAAGCTTTGGTGATTAGTTTGCTTGTGTAAAGTAAAAGTATTGTGAACAATCCGATATATTTCAGGATTAACTGGGAAAATGCAACTTAGAATAGCAGAAAGGCCTACTGCTTTCAAACAAAGGAATTACGACGTCTGCAATGGACGATACTGATTTTGGGGTTTCTTTTTTCTTTTTCAAAGTCATATCTGTCTTTGGATGAGTCATTGTAATATTGGGGTGTAGAAGATGACAGTTGTGTCCCCGTTGCTAGCGGTCTAGTGAACTCGCTTAATTCAATCAAAGATCCGGCTGAGTACGCGCGCGGAACCAACCTACCCAACTCTCACCCCCTGGAGGAAAAGGGGATGCGTTTGCCGTCGTTCCGAAGCAAGGAGAAAATAAAGAGAGAAAAGCAGCTCCTTCAAAGAGCTTCGTGCAGTCGTAGTCGACGCTAATGTCTCGGTCCCGGACCGGAAACTTTGCTTTATAAAGAGAAACAGGAGAACAACCCTCGCCAATAGGTGGCAGTTTTTTGTTTCGTGCATTACTACTTGTCGACGAACGAGGGATGGAAGAGAGGGCTTTTTCCGTCAATTAGTGCTTTCCGACAGAAAATCAGAAAGTACGGAGCCATTCCTGTAGCTGATAGGTATCCTACAGGAAAAGTTACCAGTTTTCGAAAAAGCCCATTAGCAACTTTTCTCATTATTCTTCTGCTCAAACCATTATCACTCATGCTCTACTAATATTTTGTGATAACTGAAATACCTCCCTAATAATACAGTTAAGTAACTGGGGGGGAATTGCTGTTCGTTTCACAGTTGTGCCCGATCACTTACAGAACATAATGAGGTTCAAATCCAACTTGAATGAAACATTTCTCTCAAGTTGGATTTGTAATTCCTTTGTGCAAGTTTTTGAGACAATAGTTACTGTGGACTAAAGGTTTGTGCACCTTCTATTTCTTAAATGACTCACCTGTATCCTAGCTTCGTTCAGTTTCGTACTCCTCGCTAATTCTTCTCTGCAGTAGATATCCGGATAATGACTTTTAGCAAACGCTGCTTCTAATTCGGCGAGTTGTTCCTGCGTGAATGTAGTCCGATGTCTTCGTCTGGCAGGTGTTGGACATGAAGCAGTTGTAGGCGTGTGACCGGCATGTTGTGGTCCTCCCGATGGACTCACAGTGCCCAGCGTGTTTCCTGTGCCAGTGGTAACCGGTTCCGGTTTCAGTTTTTTAAAAGCACCATCTGAAAATTAAATGCAAACCATTGACACAACATGGAAGCAGGGATACCTATTATTAAAATAGTATAAAATAGGTAATAGGCATTGGAAGATCAGTTAAATATTGAATGTAAAGCAGCAACGTAGACATCATGGTTGAACTAGGACTTTTTCCTTTTCGGGATCATCTTGTAGGAACTGAGTCTGGTTTTGATCTTCACACTGTGAATAGCTACAGTTTTGATTCTGGAACAGTTCTTGGCTGCAGACAAAACTATTTCGCGGCGGAAAAGGAAAGGTTAGAAGCATTCGAAATGTGGCGTTACAGGCGAATTGATGAGGATACCGTAGATAGAGAAGGTTAGAAATGAAGAGGTATTAGAAATAATAGGAGAACAGAAGACTGTAATGGAAGTCAATAAGAAATAAGTGAGATAGGTTGGCAAGACACCTTCTCAGACATGAAGGACTAGTCAGAGATATATTAAAGTCAAAAACAGTACTTCAGTGGAAGTAGAGGTAGATCTAGATTAGATTACTGTTCATAAATAGTTAAGAATGTGGGATATGTTCTAGTTTTAGGGAAATGCGAAGACTTGATAGGGAGGAGTGGAGGTACGTGTCCAACCAGTCTTAGGACTGACGATATATGATGATGATGATGATAATGGTGATTACATAAAGAATGTAATTTCATGCAAGTAGCAATTTTTGGTGGAGGTGGCAGGTAGAAAATATGTCCCACTATCTTGCCTTTATGTGGACACTTAATCAACTTTAGAACTATAACAAAAATGGTAACAATGGGCACATAAAGAGAGTATAATCTATTCTAAATGATAATCGGTAAATGTAAGATACAAGTACGGTGTAGATGACGTACAGAAATGACTTCTATATATAGATTTAAAAGTTAAAGTAGTTTTCGAGAATGATTTAAAAATGAGGATGACCTACGGCAAGGCGTCGTTCCTTTAAAGAAAAACGTGGTAAGTGGCACGGCGTTAAATTTGAAATCGTTCTATTTTTAAAAACAAATCGGATTAGGGCTGTTGACTGGAACGCTGGCGACGGAGCCAGAAAATTTGCATAAAGAATGCAAACGTCGAAACGCCCGCCGTCTCTCGGTAGGAATCGACACCGACACCGTCGAAAATAACTGTTACGTCCACGAAATAAAGTAGTAGTTGGCGGTGTAACAAGATTGCGTGAGATATTCTTTGTGGCACGCTCTCTCGTGCCAGTAATTGAAATTAGGTTCTTGCTAACTGCATTAATAAACAGTAATGAATTCAATAAGGTTTAGTTGCCGAGAATGTCGTTTAACGCCGTTTGTGTTTACAGGTGCTTCTAAATACAGTCGGTTTCCTTCCTGTTTCGAAATTTTACCACTATTCTATTAATCATGATAGATTATTATTGTAAAACCATAGCGATTGCAACTTTCTGAAAGGACATGCACCTCACTGTTTGTGATTGTCCCTTAATCTAGCCCTTAACTAAGCAGCAGCTTCAGTTGTTTAACTAACTATATCTGGCGTGCTGATGAGAACCAATAAGTCGTGATCGAGACCAAGAACAACAAACATTTTGTCTTTATCTATTTATATTCTATGACAATTAATTTAATTACAATTGTGTATGCCGTAAGGAATGAATTGGTTGATGTTCTGGTAACTAATGAGTTCATTCTCCATGATTTGAATGTTATCCTCTTAGTCTGAAATCTATTGAAATATCTATGATGTAGCGCAGTAAATGCCATCTGTAGCACGATGCTACATTTTAGGATTACGTATTCTCCAACAAGGTCCACTTGTGTGGATATCTACTTGCTGAAAAAGAATCGCGGCGTAGCCAACCTTAACGTGATATGCACGTTAGCTTAATCGAATAAAATAATTCGAAGTGGTCTGTATTCTGTCGACACTGTCAGACGGGGATCGCGATTTCGTATTTTTTTTGGATCTCATCAGCGCGTCCCAGGCAGCTCCGACAGAACACAGACCAACTTTTACCTGCTGTCTTAACAGCGCGTTTTAGAAAATACTACAAATGGCGCAGTAAACGCCATCTGTAGCACGATTCGACAGAATACAGACCATTTCGAATTATTTTATTCGATTAAGCTAACGTGCATATCACGTTGAGGTTGGCTACGCCGGGATTCGTTTTCAGCAAGTAGATATCCACACAAGTGGACCTTGTTGGAGCATACGTAATCCTAAAATGTAGCATCGTNTTGTATACAACAAGGCATATTTCCAACGGATTGGAAGAAGGCTAATGTGGTGGTTATATTAAAGGGACCAGATAGAACCAAGGATGATGTGGCATCTCATCGACCGATTTGTCTGCTGACCTTTATGGGAAAGGGTGTTGGAAAGGCTGTTGGTAAATAGAATTAATAATAAATATGATGATGAATTAAGTGACAAACAGTACGGATGCATTGATGAAGGTAAAAGAAACGGTAAGGAGTTCACGACGGAAATATGTACTGGCATGCTTTGTGGACTTTAAGAGCCCTTTTGATTGGTTAGATTGGAGATATTTACAAGAAAGGATAATTGAATTGGGATGTGAGGAAAGGAACATATAGCTGGATTATTTTATTAATAGGAAAGCTTATATAAAGGGGAAATATGATGAAGTAGGAATAGATATTGGAAGCGGATGCCCGCAAGGTAGTATAGCAGGGCCACTTATGTGGAATTTGGCAATGAAGGTTCTATTAAAGGAATTGGAAGAAGTATGTAAGACTGTTGCTTATGCTGATGATCTGTTACTTATGGTTGATGGAAATAGTAGGAGAGAGATAGAAGGAAAAATGATGAATGGATTAGAAAGGGTAGGAGAGTGGGGTTAGAGTGCTGGAGTAATGTTAAATGATAAAAAAAAAACAGTTATTATGATGTTAAAAGGGAGATTAAGTGGAAACAGACCACCATTGGTGAGGATAGCTAATAGAACAATAGCATATGCTCAGGAAGTTAAATATTTAGGAATATGGACTGGAGAAAGGTTAAACTATAAAATACATATGAGACACTTAAGGAGAAGGATGACTAATGTGGTTGGTTGCCTGAGAAGGGTGACCAGAAGAGATTGGAGATTAAAGGGTAGAAGTCAGAATGATATATGAAGGACTTTTAGTGGCTATTGGAATGTATAGAGAAAGCGTTTGGATTGACATTTTGAAATATGGGATAGGAATAAAGGGAATAAATGTATGTCAGAGGATAGCTCTATATTGTTGTCTGCCGATCTGTATAACTGTATGCACGGAAAGTATGCAAGTGATGATGGGTACTGTAAAGACTACCAGAAATCATTATCGTTTGAACAAGCAAACATTGATAGCGCCCTCGTATATATATATCCCCTGGTTCTTCTTTTAGTCAGTAAGATTTATTATTAGCCTAATAAAGATTATTCTATTACGATTTAAAGTGAATACTTTTATTTACTGGTCGTTCTATATAAATTGCTTTACTAAATAATTAAATTTGTATAAACAGTGAATTAGACTGAACGGGTAGTGTCACCAAGTTTTTACATTATTTAATATTAGTTTAAAGTCGTGTGTTAGAACGATTCATACGAAAAACCAAGAAAAATCGAGGTACGTCCGAAACAAAATTAAATCCTACATTTCGAGACGTAACAGTACACAATGAAAACGACTTCCTCTGTTTAGAAATTAAGGATACTGTTTCAAAACAATAGTTTTTCATTAGAAAGTGTGTAGTGCAATATTCTATGAGGACAGAGCAGTGATGGAAAATGTCATTAACTTCGACGAAAACTGATCGGAACAACATGTAAATTAATTTTGAAATAATTTGTTTAATCTGTGTGAATTATGCTAATTTTATTAGATATGGAACATTACCATTTTCAAATTAATAAAATCAGGGGCATGAATCTTCCATTTCTACCTGTAGGTACATGAGACGTAGAAACTAAAAGTTATTTATCGGTAGTTGTAAAATACAATTTCTTAAATCTATCAAATATCTAATTTAGATCGTTATTTTTTGTATAGAAGCAATAACATACTAAGAATAGTTAAAACAATCACAGTTACTTTGATTTTTATTAGAGTCATTATCAGTTGTTATCTTTCTCTAAATAAAATAGATAATTTTCTGATAGTAGTCGGCGGATAAGAAGTTATTAAGTTCTTACAAGTAGTAGTTACTATAGATGGAAATAATAATTGAATGTAACCAATATCAATTTAGATACAATTAATACTTANCGCGCTGATGAGATTCAAAAAGATCGAAATGGCGATCCGCGTCTGGCAGTTTCGACAGAATACAGACCACTTCGAATTATTTTATTATGTAATAGATACGCATTTCAAAAACTTCTAAGGATTCTTGTTCAGATTTTGTGGACCATTATCTTTCCATCTTTCCATTTGGTGCAATGAATCAGTGACTTTAGCACATTCGTAGAAATAAATAGTGTCAGTCCCCCAGGGCTAATTTGCCACCACCTGCCACCTAGTTCCCGTGCCCACAGGTCTCTAATTTGCAACAAGGAAGAGAAGGGGGTCCTAAAGGTCCATCTCCAGTGGATGCTGCTATACGCATATATGCATGTATGTATATACATGGTGCATCTGGGACTGTAATGAGTGCTTTGGGTGTCGGTAATGAAGTGTCAATTTACCGTACTTAAGAGCACAGCATATGGATAGGGACAATGGTTACGAGCGGACGTCACGGGGGGATGCAAACCCTCGGTTAACACTCAATTTGACATACTGTTCGATGACAAAAAGCACACATGCTCCGTACCAACTCGTTATCTAGTCGTTTCATATTATTTGTTTTGAAAGATCGGCACTGATTTACTACAATAGTATATTGATAGACTTCCGTAATTGGGGAGATGGCAATTAATCTGTAACCGCCCTTCCAGTGGTTTACGCGAGATTAGAAGATTAAGGATTGAAAAGCAGAGATATTATAATGATATTGGCATTACGAGGACCAATTGATATTTGATAAACTGTTAAGATTTTAGTCATACAATCATAAATTAGAAAAGTATTTAATACAAAACGACCTCTATTTTACTGAAGCTACCCAAAATACAGAATTTATAGATTAATTATATGATGAAGGAAACCCCATTGAAAATATATTTAACTAGTACAATTCGCTCAAATTTTCCATATATTCGGATCAACTGATGTCTTTGCTTCAATTTGATTTTCAAAAAATAGGTAGGTACTGTAAAGACTACCAGAAATCATTATTGTTTGAAGAAGCAAACATTGATAGCGCCCTCGTATATATATATCCCCAGGTTCTTCTTTTAGTCAGTAAGATTTATTATTAGCCTAATAAAGATTATTCTATTACGATTTAAAGTGAATACTTTTATTTACTGGTCGTTCTATATAAATTGCTTTACTAAATAATTAAATTTGTATAAACAGTGAAGGGAAGAAAAAGTAGGGAAAGAGCGAATATAAAGATAGGAGACGAAAAATTAGAAGAAGTGGCTGATTTTAGATATCTAGGAAGTCAGATAAGTGAGAATGGAAGGAGTAGTAGGGATATAAAGCAGAGGATAGCGCAAGGTCGTGTCGCCTTTAATAAAAGGAAGTCACTTCTAAGCTCGCGAACCGTTAATTTAGAAATTCGAAAAAGGTTGTTAAAGGTGTATGTTTGGAGCACGGCGTTGTACGGGTGCGAAACATGGACAGTGGGAGCGGCGGAAAAGAAAAGGTTAGAAGCGTTCGAAATGTGGTGTTATAGGCGGATGANTTAATCTGTGTGAATTATGCTAATTTTATTAGATATGGAACATTACCATTTTCAAATTAATAAAATCAGGGGCATGAATCTTCCATTTCTACCTGTAGGTACATGAGACGTAGAAACTAAAAGTTATTTATCGGTAGTTGTAAAATACAATTTCTTAAATCTATCAAATATCTAATTTAGATCGTTATTTTTTGTATAGAAGCAATAACATACTAAGAATAGTTAAAACAATCACAGTTACTTTGATTTTTATTAGAGTCATTATCAGTTGTTATCTTTCTCTAAATAAAATAGATAATTTTCTGATAGTAGTCGGCGGATAAGAAGTTATTAAGTTCTTACAAGTAGTAGTTACTATAGATGGAAATAATAATTGAATGTAACCAATATCAATTTAGATACAATTAATACTTATTCGTGAGTATTTTTTATTTTTTTCCAGTGTTAGAACATCAAAAGTATTTTTATTTGAATTAGAATAACACACAAATCCTTCATGGTTTCAAAAAGTTTTGTTATTTTCAATTCAAGATTAGGTATATTCATTATACGTCGGTAATATGTTCGGTATATTCCTTTAAATTGTGAATTAATATTTGAATTCACATATATATATACTAGAAATAAATATTTTTTTCATTCCTTTTCCGTCGGAATATCCGTAGCGTTTTCCGTATAAGTACCAAAATAGTGACGTAATCAGTTTACGGTGTCAATTCCTATACAAAATTTGCAATAAAAAAACGAGAAGTTTTCGTGAACTTGAATGATTGGTTTCTTTTTCATTTTTTTGTACATGGATCACCAAAATCAACTATCTCATGAGAAGATAACAACCAAGGAAGTGTAAAAATAAAAACTGTCGTTTTAAATTCCAACCTAATCTAATAATCTATCAATTTCGACGGTGAATATAGTCTTAGAATTAATATTTGCTTACGACGAAAAATCTTTTTTTTTGTTGGTTATTAGCAATCTTAATAAGTAACACAGTTTAATGTACACACCGTATTCTCAATGTGTGTAACTGCAGTGCTGTTAAAACTATAGATTTAGCCCAAATGCTTAATAGAAACAATTACAGAATCATTAATGGTTGTCATTCTAAATGAACTATTCAACTATACTATAGACATTTGGACTAAATACGATGGTTTTTCTATTTAAATGAAATTTCTACTGTGTCAATTGAATGATCAGAAGGTGTTTGGTTTCATGAATAGTTACCGCAAGGATTATATTGCGTTTCAGACTTTGATTATTTATTTATAAGAAACTGTTATTACGAAAGCTTCTTCTTACTCATTGCGATCCATAAACAAACACATTTGGAAACAAAGAAATTACCTGTATGATCAGTTAGGCTTCTAGTTCCCGATGGAGGCGTATGAGCAGGTGTATGAACATGGTCATGGGTATGTGGCAGGCTACCATAAATAGAAGCAAAATCTTCCGTCGATGAGCCATTGGTATTGCACTTCCTTCCGTTGTTTTTATCCCCGTTGGCATTCGTCGGTCCATTCATAAGATGTCCGTGATGGTCGTCCAGCAGTCCAGAGACACCCAGAAGGTTTCCAACGCCAACGAGGTTCGGTCTGAGATCGTCCATCATGGATTTTTGCGGACACGCGTTAAAATTGAGCTGTCTGCTGAAGATCGCCGGAAAAATGTTGAATTGCTGCGGTGCGACGTCTTCCGTGGGATTAGAGGTGGACGAGACGGGGGCTGGCGAGATGCCTAACGCCCCCAAATTCGACGAAATGCCCTTGAAATCCAACTTGAGGCTGTTTGCGAACTATTCGACGGTTTTCATGAGTTCGTTTTGGTAAAACGCGTTCGCCGAAACTGAAGAAATGAAACTCGCAGCGGGATGCTGAGATGGACTCGAACAAACAAATGGTAGGTATAATGTTTGTCAGTAAACGCGTTCACAAGAAAAGAAAACAAATCCGGTCGAACGAAAATTTGAATGGGAAAAAATGAGATTCCTTTTGACACATCTAATTGACGCGGACCTTTGTTTGTATGGTTCACTAATAATCGATTCAAGTTTGATACCGTTAATATCAGTGACTAATTGAATTAAATTTTGGAATAGAGACAACAGGGATCCAAATCTGACTAGCTTATGCCTAAGCCAAACGGCAAGTGACTATAACAATATTAACTCTGATAGTGTTGTTCTGTTATCTGCTAGCTTTAACCAGTAAGGGAACCGAAAACCGCGTCTGTTTCGATCTCTTTTTCATTGCCAGTCGGGGTAGGGTTCTCCTCGTCTGGGCTCGTCGTTGAAGCAGAGATATCTCGTAGCTTGAGGGGTAGCTTTCGAAAGCCAATGGGGGCGCTTTGCCGTGCCAACGTGAATCATGATTGGGGGATAGTTTTCTCACCCCGTAGCAACCCCAATGAGATTCCGTCAACGGCAAAATGGTGGAAATAGCCGGGAGACACGCGTTCGATTTTTATGTTTTGATGCGCTACGAGTTGGTCGTTTTTTGGATATCATGAAGTGCCGCGTTTTAAAACATCATGCTTTTATTTCACAGTGTAAATACACCTACCTATACCGTTTAGTTATACATGTATTGTAAACTTTGAATGGAAGTTTAATTACATTACCTGCTGCTATTAAATGGTATCCATTTCCACCAAGAAAATCTGAGGAATTTTTCCGAAAGTTATTTTACGAATTTTGTGATTACTTCTCTCGAAAAAAAAATGTGGTTAAATCACTCTAGGAAAAAAGCTACTGTTATATTGAAGTTTTAAGATTTATTATCATTGTGGGGGTTGGATAATAATCTTCTAACTAATCGTCACCATCGACTAAATGTTTTTTGACGAAGTAGTTCAACTGTGTTGGAGTTAAAACAGAAGATAATGGAGGAAATAGGATCAATTCCGCAATTTTACATTGTTTAGTACAAGAAACAATTGTTTTAAAGCCTCTGTATTTAAAAGTTATAAAATAAAATGCATTGATAATGTAAAAAATTAAGAACTTACTTATGATGAAGATTTTAAAGAAAGAAGAATGAAGATTACGCAGGTCAACGAAATCAAGGGTAGTTAGGTATTAAAAAGGAAAAAAACAAAGAGATAAACATAATGTACGCCATAAAGTCCAAATCTGCCTTCAGAATTGCCAAAGCATTTTAAAATTATTAGATATTCCAATTTCAAATTACAAAAATTGTAATTTTTTACTTTTTAAAAGGCCACATCGAGAGAGTAGCCATTTTCGAGAACTTACCTATTGTTGCTGAATTATTATCTATTCTCATTGAGACTTTCAAATATATTTTGAATCCAAAATATAAAATATTTGATATTAGAATATTTTAAATAAAATTTTCATTATTTTTGGGTAGTTATACTGATAGAGCCAATAAAGTTGAATTCCTCTTCAAAACACATTACATCAGAAACGATTTACCCCCTTTGTATCTTTTATTTTGAACCCAATTTATTCTTCGGTGACCTACTCAAATGTGGCTCCAGAAAAGCTCTACCGCGTTGAGCCAATTACTCTAAATTAGTATCTTTCGAATTTTTAAAAGTTTAGGTGTATACTTATCAAATTGTTATATGTTGGGGTAATTCTATTAATCAATGATAAAAGTAAAACAAAAAGAAAACATCGAAGACGTATCAACATTATTAAAGACAATACAACTGTAGGGATATGTATACAGGGGCAAAAGATGAGTATGCTTACATTTGCAGATGATATAGTAGTATTAGCATCTAGCAAGGAGGAGTTAGAGATAGCTTTAAATGAAATGGAAGTGGTATTGGCAAAACAGTATTGTATGAAAATAAAAAGAAGTAAAACGAAAATACTGGTATGTAAGGGAAGAAAAAGTAGGGAAAGAGACGAAAGTGGCTGATTTTAGATATCTAGGAAGTCAAATAAGTCAGGACGGAAGGAGTAGTAGTGATATAAAGCAGAGAATAGCGCAGGGCCGAGTCATCTTCAATAAAAAGAAGTCACTTCTATTCTCGCAAACGATTAATTTAGAAATTCGAAAAAGATTGCTAAAGGTGTATGTTTGGAGCACGGCGTTGTACGGGTGCGAAACATGGACAGTAGGAGCGGCGGAAAAAAAAGGTTAGAAGCGTTTGAAATGTGGTGTTATAGGCGGATGATGAGGAAACCGTAGATAGAAAAGGTTAGAAATGAAGAGATATTTGAAAGAATAGGAGAACAGAGGATTCTATGGAAGTCAATAAAAAATAGGCGAGATAGGTGGGTAGGTAGTTCCAGTCAGAGACATATTACAGGCAGAAACAGGAGTTATGAGGAGTAGAGGTAGACCTAGATTAAATTATTGTTCACAAATAGTTAAGGATGTGGATGTTCTAGTTTTAGAGAAATTCGAAGATTAGCTTAGGATAGAAAAAAGTGGAGATGCGTGTCGAACCAGTCTCAGGACTGATGACCTTATGATGATGATGATGAATTAAGTTGTCATATAAATTTTGAGTTCAAAAATAAATTTCATGTGCATGAAACGGTAGGCTGAACACACGGTGCCTACATCCAAATTTGTCCTTAAATGAGAATTCACCTACGTATGTAATAGGATTTATTCGAACGATAGATGCCTTGAATATCATTAAAACTTTCAATGTTGTAATGTATACATATATGTATATATACCCTTTTCATGTTCACTTTAAACTTTGTCGTATCCTAGCATTTAAAGTCATTTGACTACGCGATAGTTGTACAAAAATAGATGCGTCTAGAAGTACATATATATAGTGGAAATATTTTCAACAAATTCTTAATTTCTGGAAATAAAAAGCAAGTAATGTGTGAATATAAAGAAAGGAAACGAAACATTAAAAAAATCCCTGATTTTTTGGATCTAGAAAGTCAGATAATTCAGGATATAAGGAGCAGTAGGATATGAAACAAAGGATATTACAGGATAAGTCGCCTTTAACAAAAGCAGTCACTTCTATTCTCGCGAACGATTAATTTAGAAGAAGATTGTTAAAGGCGTTAATGTCAGTCATTAAAATGATGATGAGTATCAGAACGGTACAAAAGGGAAAGATTATATGAAATCCATAATCCACCAAGAAAATTTTAAATAATATTTAACCGAAATGTAAACAATTGTCTATTTTAAATGGCTTGCAGATATACATTATATTTTCACCATTTTCAAAACGACAGCTTCACTTCAATTTTCTTTCAGTGCTCTCAGACAATTTTTAAATGAAAGATATTCCGAGTAGATGAATGCATTAGAATAATTAATAAAAATGATTAATTTCTGTTGTTCGCTACCCTACGCAAATCCTCCGTTATTGTAACTTTGACGCATGAGTTTCAGCACGTGTCGACGCTTTTTGACACGTGTTCTAGCAGCGAGGAAAAGGAAGATGCTGTATACGGCAAATTATTGGGTGCCGCCCTCGACCCATTCAGCCAATTTGCTAACCAATAATCAACTAATCAACGAAAATCGTTTGACAAAAGACGTGCACCTCTGCCCAGTCAAAATATTGACTCCAACAATATATTGTCACCCCTAAAAATTATATGGTTCCAACTTGATGTTGTCAACTGTTTGTTAATAAATATGGGTGCAACATAAAATAGTCACACGCTTTTCATTGACATCTTTTGTTGAATTGTTCTGGTGTTAGAGTAAAAAAGAAATTTTTTCCTGTTTATTGATAAATTTAAGTCATCAATGTAATTATTAGGACAAAAACTGACCGAGCGGCATGGCCTAGAGGTCTAGATCATTGCTGTATTAATGAGAGTTGTTAATAACAACTAGCCTTTCAGATGACATGGTGTGTGCATATTTTATTTATTTTTCTTGTCGTTTTCCTACCCTATCAGCTTAAGTCCTCAAATCCTCTCTCTTGGTCTAACTCACAGTCCATCCAATGTTCCCACCACTACTTTAGATTGTCCTTGATACTTCGTATAATGACGTCACAGTGATGCTCTGCCGTACCCTCATTTTCTTCACATAAACTAAAAAGTTTTTTGGTACACCTTTCGGCCACTATCTAATTTCATTTTTTTCAATTCCTGCCCAGAACTTAGCTGATACAGTTCTTATGTTTCCACTTCGTAAATTAAAGTTATGCTTATCTCTACCTTCTAGGTATCTCCTTATTCTTTTTCCTTTTTCTTCTTCGAACTGCTCTAATTTTTTAATTTTTTTCACCCTTCAGTTATATTTTCCCCTACATTTCTTCTTTCATTCTTAATTCCCTTATATGTAATATCTTCTAATATGACCACAGTTAAATTTGCTCTCTATTGTATCCATTTCCTTTTTTTCCAATCTGTATATGATTTTTTGTATTTATTCAAACGTAGGTACGTGTTCCTTTTTGTATTTTTTTGTCGTATATTTCCTGAATCTTATTGAAGATACTATCTCAATCTTCTCTATCGCTACTTCCTCTTATATGATTATTAACGCTTCTATCTGTTTTTTTTTCTGTGTACCAGTATAGATATTAATAAAATGGTTAGGTAAGTGAGAATTATGCTTAACTCCATCTCGAGTTTCTTGATTACAGAGAATTTACATCGTATTTACATAATTATTTAACATATGTTAAAGTTCCAATTCTGGTATTTGATAAGATTTCGAAACATATCTACAAATATTACCTCTGCCCTTAACATGTGCT